ACGGAAATACAGGCTAGAAGTTTCCCGAAACTAAATCAGCGTACGTGATTTGCTTCTCACCATCAGAATTACCACGTCATGATACTCAGAGCTAAACTTGGATTAGTAAATGCTATCCGGGTGGATTAGCCTAGAATAGCTGGGTTATCCCAAGAAACCGCTGGTTTTTGCTCAGTTACCGAATCATGCATGCAATGGTCAGCCCATCAAATAAGCACACTTTTCCAAAATATGGTTGTTCCACCCGCGAATTCCGTCAACATGAGCCGGAAGCGTGGGTGGACACAGTGTACAGCGGATGCGTGAAGTGGCTGAATCAGTACGGTTCCTCACCCCCCCCTCCCTCTTTCTAGCGCTGTTAAACTCAAATTTCCCCTAAAATGGCCGCTGCAGCGTGGCAGTTCACTTTCGGGTACCCTTTCTCTGAACAATAGCTTCCCCTCTTCGAGCGACGTGACTTCCTCAAAAGTGAGGTATTCGCGAAACAGCAGGATAACAGCCTTATCTGAATCTTCAGCAGTTCAAGCAACATCTCTGGTGCTTTGAACAACCATGATTTCGCTCGCAGCCGCTTGCAAAAGCAAAATACAACCTTAAAAATACAACAATAATCTAGCCTTCCAGAAACTACACTTTTTTCTGAGACCCTCTAGAACGACTATTATCGTTTTTTGACAGGCGAAACTCTGAGCTCAAAAGCTCGATTCCTTCCTTGCAGTAGTGACAGATCTCATTGGGGAACTCTAGTATGCTGCTTTCAGAACGAATATCCCTGCTGAAATGAATGAAGGGGCGAAAGGTTTGCCTGTCAAGTGATTTCGATTGAATGTGAGCCATGCATTACTGCCGTGCAAAGGTAGTTCAAGGGTGCCACTTCCACATAACGTTCAGATCCAGTGTTTCAGAAAGATTTGCAACTTTTATGAACTCACTTTCCTTTGTTTGCGTGGTCTCCAGTATTGACTAATCTCTGCTCTAAGCCCCCCCCCCCATCTGAAGCGACCAACAACGCCCCACCCCCTTTTGATAAGATTCTCCCAACAATGATGTGCACTCGGTGGAAAAAAGTCCAACCAGCAAAGAAAGATAGCGAAACTACTCAGGGCACATCACTGGTTTCGGATTTTGGTCAAGTCCGTACGACCTCACCCTACCCTTTTTAGGGGGTTGTTGTGACCCTCCCCTCACATTCCACACAACTGCTTCCCTCCTCATTAACGCCAACAGGGAGGGCGGCTGAATACTAGAGTGCGAACAAAAAAAAACCTACGGAAAGAGCAGCAACCTCACGCAGAAGGTCATAAAGCGAAATAACGACCCCTTCTCTGCAGCAACGCAGTACGTCCGCCTGTGGGAATCTTTCTAAACGAATGCTCTATCCAAGAACTCTTACTATACGTGCGTCATTGCGCGTGGAATACATAGTAAACCTGAAACAGGAAAAAAATTTCATCTGGTAAAATGCTTTTTACATCCCAAGAACTTGATCCCCTCCGTCGGATGTGGATGCGAATCGAAGATGTATCTGGGTCTGTCCAGTTGTATTCCTTGCCCAAAATATGAGCCCTAGGCCGCAGGAATTTCGATAAATTTTCGTTTTGTTGAATAAGTTCCAGTAGCCACACAGTAAAGGGAAATTGTATGCGCTAGTAAATATTTCAGCAGCCTGGCCGAAAATTCGCATGTGAAAAACTCTGCTCACGAGAATCCTATTATGCATGCACATTAGACATCAATCTTATGAACTTCTTGAAAACACTCAAGTCTCTTGCCATCAGATCTGCAGCATTACACGAAAAAAAAGGCGAGAACAATTCTCCTAGGACACGACTTTGCAGCAGAACTTGAGATTTGATCGGCGGCTTCAGACCGCCTCTCTTTCACAAAGGAATGGCTTCAAATTTTCATGAAGCTGTGAATGGAGCAGACTGACATGTTGCAGATCGCCGCTCTGCGGAAATCTTCGCATCATTTCGTAAATATATGAGATATGTGTATTCCGCGCCCAAAAACGTGTTCTGCTAACTTCAGGACATGAAATACACTCCAGTTCGCTGCGAAGGGTTGGGCGTGTCAGCAGATGAGTGTGCATCACCAATAGCCGTTTTCGCCTTCTCTGTATAAGGCAGCATTGCCGACAAAAGGTGGTGAAAACAAGTACTACCAACGGATACGCTACAGCCATATCATTGCTCCAGCTTTTACAACGGGTGGAGAACGGGTTTGGCACCGTGCCAAACTCGTCCCGCCTGACACGCCCAAGCCGCAGCGAACTAACTATATTAGGTTGTTGCATAAGTTCTTATACACGACTTTTTTGTAAATATCTCAAAAAACGAACCAGCCTGGAGATTAGAGGTATGCACCATCACCATTCACTACTCGACGCCAGCGCTCAGGCAGCTTGTCGATTCCATCCTTCCAGAACGACGGAGGCTGGGACTTGAAGAAGTCGTCGAGCGCCTTTCTGACCTGATCCTTTGTTTCGAACTTTTTTCCGTCCAGATAGCGCTGCAGGTGGCTGAACAGCCAGTAGTCAGAAGGAGCGAGGTCAGGGCTGTAGGGAGGGTGGGCGACCATCAGCCATCCGTACTTCTCCAGCTCGGCCTGGGTCGCCTTTGCAGTGTGAGGTCGGGCGTTGTCATGGTGGAAGTAGATTTCCGCATTCCTTCCACGAGTACGGTCGACGTGATCTTTCAATTTCCGCAGCTGGGTCACGTATGTGGAAGCGTCAATCGTCTGTCCCTTCTCCAGCAGCTCCCAGTACTCCATGCCTCTTCTGGACCACCAACAGGACAGGAGAACCTTTTTGGGTGAAGGTCGGCCTTTGGGGTGGCTTCTGGCTGTTCTCCTTTGTCGACCCACTGCCGCTTCCTCACAGGGTTATCGTAGAGGACCCACTTCTCATCTCCAGTGATCATCGAGTTGAGAAAGTGAAGCCTCTTTTGGAAAGTGAGGAGAGAAGTGCAGGTGGTCACCCTCCTCGAGAGGTCATAAGCGGACAGTTCATGTGGGACCCATCGACCAAGCTTTGCTACCTTGCCGAGCTTTTCTAGTCCACGTGCAACCGTCGAATGATCATAGCTAAGCATGGTCGCCATTTGGTGGTGAGGTACGGGTCCTCCTCCACGGTGGAACGTAGTACTTCCAAATCCAACTCCATCGGCCGACCCGACCTCGGAGCATCTTCGAGAGAAAAGTCTCCTTTCTTGAATTTGGCGAACCAATTCTTGCATGTCATGTAAGAGATGACGTCCTCACCGTATGTATCCACCAGCTTGGTATGGGCTTCCTTTGCATTCCAGCCGAAATCGTGGAGCAAAACCAAACAGTGGCGCAGGTACGTTTTGTCACAGTGCAAATTGTGCGACATTGTGTACTGCAAATGCAAGCTCGGTGAGTGATAGCTAGTGTAATGAAAGAGTATAATGTACACGTCAACGTAATACCAACATCCATGCGAACGAAATAGGAGAGGATCAAACACGTGTATAAGAACTTATGCAACAACCTGATAGATGCCAAATCAATCATGAAACCGCGCAGAGAATAAATGTATGACACACCAAGTGTTTCACGCGCTCCCGAACGTGTTGCAAGTGCTAGGGGACCACCCAAACGAGTTCTGGACGACAAAGGTTCGTCTTCGGGCAGTGTTGGCAAGTATGCGCTGCTGACCGATCGACTTCCAGTGGCATCGTGACATACAGACAGAGGTCTCACTTCACAGGTGGGAGCCGGTGGGTTTGCTCCACGCTGACGCAAAAACTTGCTTGAGGAAAGGTTTTACTTCAACCTTTGATATTCCATCAATTGAACCATCCAAATATGTAACTGTCAGCCGCTCCTATGAAGCGGTGTTCCGGTGGCAAGAAGGTATCCCGTATCAGGCTCCTGCCCAAGCCAAGCAGCCTTCTGCCCTTACGGGACGGTAAATTGGTACTAGATCCATCTGGAAGAATAAGAGCACTAGTCTTCAGCTTCTCCCTTCATGAAAACTCGGAATTGTCATAAATTTTATGAAATTCTTCTGTGCCAACAAGGTTTTGGGTGAAACTTTTAGTATAGGCCTAAAGTTTCATCAGATCGTCGTCCTCAAAGGCCAAATCCACCGCGACATTAGGGGGATGAGGCCATTCTATTGAGTGTTACTAATGAAAGTCTTAGTTTTATAACAACGCTTGACACAGCGACCTCATCCCACTAATGTTGGGCTCGCCTCCCAGTTCGACGATCTTGTTCCTATTTCTGGAAACTGATCGGAAATGTCGACCTCCCCTGTTCCCCGTTCCCCATTTGACACCAAAATGTTGGAAAACCTTGGCAAGATGGGGGAATAGGACGGAAAAAGGGATTTGTACCAGGTGAGGAAGTTCGGGTTAGGGGTGGTTGATGTTCCGAGAAATCTATTCACAACGTGCTGGTGTGCCGTGTCCGCCAATTCTGCGAGAATTCAGCAAAGAAGGCCTTCAAGAATAGTTTATACTTCAGAAGAAATAGATAACCAGTCAAGATTTTCACGTGCGAGATAAACTACGATACCGTACCCGAAAATTATCCTATACAAATATGAAAAATTAATCCACTTTGTGGATAACTGAAACTGTCTACGATCATTAGATGAAAGTACAGAAATGCGTAGGGTTATAAGTAATGACACCGTATAGAACAAGGAATACCTTCAAAGTCGGAACACGGGAAACAAACGGGGAAAAAATTATTATAAGCCATGTTTGGCACGGAATACAACATAAGAACGTCAGAAATAGAAATCCTGGGAAAGAACATTTCCAAGGAGGGAAAAGTGAAGAGCCAAGAAAACAGTGGTTCAGATTCAATGAAGGTATAAGTAAAGCACCATGTCATGACAGAAAATATTCCGAATAAAACTTCTCACTGATGAGTAAATAGCCGTATAAAACTCTTCCAGTACACCAAGGGAGTACAATAAAACCGTAGTAGCAACTTCGAATTGTGTTCCTTTCAGAGACGCTGAAAATTCACACTGCTTGAGGTGGGGGCCGGAAGCTTTGCAAAGTCGAGTGGGACATCGCCACTGTTTGAAGAGGTTCTGGCACAGCCGAGCGAGTATCATACGAATTGAATGAGTAGCCTGAAATCAAAAGCAGTAAAAATCAAGTGATCAAAAACCAAAAAAATTAACTGGAGCAAGATGAAGGAGAAAGTTATAGGACATTCTCAGCCTATGAATATTTTGCAATATAAGGGAAACATCGGCTAGTAACAGCGACCAGATACCTGCCTAGCGATCTAATCGGTCTTGGAATACATCTCAGCTCAACAGCCGAACAACGATGAACACCAGCTCTACGGAAAGGGTTATATCGAAAGGGAGTTCCGAAAGCTTGCGAAGTCACCTCCAGTTCATCAAATCTGCCGTCAATCATACCAGTCAAAACATAAAAGTAGAATGTTACTCATGAACTAACCTTTCAGATCGCTTTCGAAACCGCTACTTGGTGTCGGTGACGGACTCATCCTTGACGTCTCTTCTTTTTCCTCCTCAATTACCGTCAGTCGGTCGTCTTCAATGCTCATTTTTTGCGTGTGCATAGCTGGCAGAAGAGCTGCACATTGGGACTGAAATAATCCAATTTTGAATGAAAAATATTGGGAAGGGTAAAGAGCTTCTTGAATCTACAGGATGCCTTATTTCGTCAAAGTTTTCATGCAAACCATTTCGCATTTCTCCTTCCTTTTTCTTTCTATTCTCCTTCATGTTGCTTTTTTCAATCCACTACCCATAATTCACATCTCAGGATATCAACGTTCCCACCCAAAAAAAAAATGAAATAAATCAAAATGTTACTTCATCGTTGAACCGATGGTACTATTACCTTTATTGCCCCATTTTCCAAAGTTTTGGTCATTTTGACTGGAATTTTATTCCCACGTGTTATCAAAATTCCAGATCCGCTTGGATCGAAAAAGCCTAGCGTCAGCGCCAAAGAACTTTTAGAACTTCGTGATTGTACTCTGGCGGATGCGCCTCTGGCACGTATACCAATCCTTTTCGCGCTAAGCGATGTGCTTTTCACATTTCAAACCACCCCCTCGAGACCGATTTCGACCCAGATGTAGCCTATGTGACCAATATCGACCAGAAAAAAATCGGCTTGAATTTTGAAAAATGGGGCAGCAAGCTGTAAACAGTGGCAAACTGTCCTCTATTTTGATTCCCATGACAGCACTAGTCCTTTAGCGCGACTAACGATGTTTACAATGTCTTCATGGTTTTTGTCACTCAGAACTTTAATCTTGAACATTCGCTAAGTCACTGCCTCCCGTTACCAAATCCGTGGGGGACACCACATCGTTCCTCTCACTTCCATCGATAAGCTATAAATGTCATCATTTACAGCATGATACATTTTCTTGAGGCTGCAGCACAACTGGGCATTGCTTAGTACACCTGTAACCTTCCCAGAGACCCCATCAAAAATTACCTACGTCCTCAACAAGCGTTTCGATGCCATGTGACGCAACGTCGCGTGCAACGATTGCGTCAGACAACTTAAAAACCCGCAATTAGCGAGAAAACGAGACAATAATAAGTGATCCACCGGGCGATAACGGAGTCAGCTCGTCTCCCTAAATTGGTATACCAGAACCCACTTAGTCTGCACAAGTGAAACCATTTGGGAAGGGTGTCGCAGTGGCAAGAGATGCTGGGCCCCAGTTACATGGTCCATGGGCAAATCCCGATAGATCACCCATTTTTAGGAGAAGACAGGTGGTAAAAGATCATTCGGAAGAAAGTAAAATCGATTCCAAGACGGAATACTCTTGTTCGCTGCGGATGAGGAGGCGTGTCAGTGCGGCTGCGCTTAGTGCGGCGCCAAACCGGTTTTTCACCACTTGCTTAAGCGAGCAAGCGACTAGACCGTATCCTAGAGCTTGCATCAGTCGTTTTCTTCTTCTGACGTAAACTTGCCCAGTACAACTGGTGGGAAATGGGTTTGGCGCAGCGCCAAACGCAGCGGCACTGACACGCCCCATCATCCGCAGCGAACAAGACAGCCAAAATACTTACCAGTTGTTCCTGTAATAGCCCATATGAGACGAAAGCGCTGCACTCTGACAGGCCGATACGGGCTACCTTATCCCTTGTTTTCGAAGACCATTCCCTGTAGCCGAATCCCAACAACCCAGACTAATTAAAAGTTCACGCCGAGCTTAATGCGATCATCTTTGATGCCCTGTCACACAGGGGCTTCTCCAAA